ATAAGTTGGCGGTTCATTCCGCTGTGGTGACCCCGGATTAATAAAGGGACTAAGCCGACAAGAAAATGAATGAATGAATGAGTTCTGCATGCAACACTTTTTTCAGGGGCCATACTAGATAGGATGCAAAAAATATTCCCTAACACTTTAATGAAACGGATGCTTATAAGGCTAAGACGCAACTTAGAGTTGTGAGGCATAAATAATTATGTAAATTTCAATTTGCAGGACGTAAAACTAGAACTATTCCTACATTTTACAAATAAAAAAAGTTTACATCTCACAATTATGATTGTGTGTCTCTAAATTCTGATCATTATTTCTTGCACTTGAAAATTGACATCTTGTAGTTCTGACTTTTTGTAATCTACTTTTACATCCAGCTAATTTTGACAATTGAAGAGTTCAGATGCGAAAACCTCTAAGAGCCATCTGAAATGTTCGTCTAATATGAGCATTTTTTTCAGGCTCTTTTCTTAATTCTGTAATTTTATGGCAAAGAATAGTTTTTTTTTTATCGATTTTAATATGAAATAATTGAACATAATCATAAGAGGCTGACAAAAATGCTCATTGTTGAAGAAAATTCCAGATTTTCGCATCTCAATTCTTGCTTTACATCTCCTGGTTCTGATCCTACATCTCACAGTAGCTGCGTCTCATTTCAGGGTCTGCATCCTCCAAAGGATGCATTCAAAGAGCATGTGTCAAGTTGTGCTTGCTAACATTAGTTAACGCACTGTGAGTTAGCATGAACTAACATTATTTGATGGCTGATCAGACATTTGCGTTAACAAGCAGTTGGACAGGTGTACCTAATAAAGTGGCCGGTGAGCGTAAGTCTGTAAAATAACAGAATATGTATAGTGGCAAGGTTTTTGTAGCATCATATACAACACCATTCAGACAATATATCACTTTTAAACTATTAAAAATGTTAATAAAGGTTCGTTTTTAACCTTTTCTAGGTTCAAAGTTGCTGGAAGAAAGATCAAGATCCCATAATGCATATGCATAAATAAACAGAGCTAAAATAAAAAACATGAATCGCAAAATACAAAAAACTGCGGATATTTTTTTACAGTGTCGTCCATGTTGACCACAACTTTGTTTGACCAATCCCGAACCCCAGAACGACCCGTAATGAGTGAACTGTGCAAACACAGTGAAGTCATAACCTGAGCAGACACCTGCTGTCTCCGTTACACTCCAAACGGTTAACGTGCGTCTGTCAGTGTGTGTGATCAGTGCTATTTATAACCGTGTGCTATTGAAAGCGGACAGACGAGCAGCCGGTCCTCCCTCTGACACCCTTCACCCCTGCGGTCCAGAGGGTCTCAGTCCCGTCCCACACAGGGAACAAGCACATTCAGCCCTCATCCAGACACAACTGACCCAGCACAGGTATAGTAAACCAGTCTGATGCACGTGATTATCGCATTGCATGAATTTGTGGGTTGTGTGTGCACTGTAAAATAAGTTGCTGGCTTCAATATTTAAGTTGAATCTAGTCAGTTCCACTTACTAACAGTACTTGTGCACTGTCAAAATTGACTACCCTTTGGTTATGTTCGGGGCTGTTTTTGCCCCATTGACTTCCATTGTAACCACATTTTTATGATTGCAAAGACATGACAGCATACAACCTTGTATTCTTGATTGTTGGTGGTTTTCTCTGCTGGGAAGAGGTCAGATTTGTCATTTTTATTGTTGATAATCAGTTGACAGTGATAGCCTGTGCAAAACAGTTTCTGGCATTTACAGTATATGGAATTTCATGGTATAAAACAGCAGATTATAGTGTCTGTGTGCATAAATACACTTACTACTTACTATGTTTAGAGAGCTGAGAGGTTTATTTTGATTTTATAAAGCATATCAAGGTATATGTGCAAAGGTCTTTCTCTCTCTTTCTCTCTCTCAGACATACACAAGCACACACACTGTACTACATATAAAAGCTAGAAACTAAGCTTTTTTTTTGCACTGCAACTGATGATAAACAATGAAAATGACAAGTTTGATCTCTTCCTAACAGGAAAAACCAGCAACAATCATGAATGCAAGAGGTGTCATGGCTTTGCAATCAAAAAACGTGATTATAAAGGAAGTCAATGGGGGCAAAAACAGCCCAGAACATAACAAAAGGGTAGTAAATTTGCCCAGAGTGCATTGTTGAGTTTTTTAAAAATGCCAAAAGCATTTTCCCAAAATATGTGCCAAAAAGAGATTTGTTACCAAAAGTCATTCCATTTGCTGAAACAGAGGACGTCATGCCAGATTAAGAGTCAAAATCACCCACATGCCTAACAGCACACACAGGCTAAGACTCTAAGTTGAAACTAGCATAACAAAAAAACAACTAAACTGAAATGTGACCTTGGAGCACAAAACTTAAGTAAAGTCTTGAGTTGGACACACTCTAAAAATGCTGGGTTACTTTAACCCAGTGTTGGGTCAACTATGGAAACCACCAACTATTGGGTTTAAAAGTGTTATTTAAATTCAGTTGAAAGATTTACGTAACAATTTTAAAACTTTAAAGTTGTCAATATTTGACCCAATGTTGGCTTAAAACAACCCAGCATTTTTAGAGCGCATTTATATTTGTAGGAATAGCCAAAAGCACATTGTATGAGATCCAATAAAGTATTTATTTTGTGCCATCCCAAAGAGGGAAGAAATCACTTTCACGAACGCTCACGCTCAATCTGCCCAGTTGGTGGAATGAACTCCCTAACTGCATCAGAACAGCAGAGTCACTCGCTACTTTCAAGAAACGACTAAAAACTCAACTATTTAGTCTCCACTACACTTCTTAATCTGCAATTGCCTCTCTGAATATCACACTAACTGTACCCCAAAAAAATAAATAAATAAAAAAAAAAAACTAATACTACTAATACTTCCCTTCTTAGACTTTACAGAACTGAAACTTGCCTATAGCACTTATTCATTGTTGCTCTTAGTTGTGTAAATTGTTTCCTTGTCCTCATTTGTAAGTCGCTTTGGATAAAAGCGTCTGCTAAATGACTAAATGTAAATGTAAATGCCATAATTAAAAGAAAATTACATACATTTTGTAAATATTTCACAACAATTATATCAAAGCGTATGGTTTGATAAGTAATATGCACTGCTAAGAACTTAATTTGAGCAATTTTAAAGGTGATTTTCTTTTAAATGTGTATGATTAAAATCTAATATTCATATATTACTGTAACTAGTTTATTTTTGAATAGTTTTAGTGCATTAGAACATTAACACTGGTGGGTGTTCGGTCCAGTCGAACCAGCTTTTCCAGGGTTTCTGCAGGTTTCACCAAGTTAAATTTAAGACTTTTTAAGACTCATAAAGGGCTGAACATTAATGCATTTTTCAAATGGCCCAGATGGAAAAGTTTTATTTGCCTTTTCAAATAAATTGTATTATAATTGAATACATCTTATAATACAATTATATATTAATAACAAAAATATATATATTTTTTAGATATTTCTAAGCAAAATATTTTAAATATTGTATAAATACAAGCAAGCTCCACTTGTATCCACCTAGCAAGCACACAACTTCATAAGACGTTAATATTAGGTTCGATTTAGGTCATGGCGTCCAAAATTCAATGTCTAGCCAGCATCTAAGGATAACGTTATTTTGACGTCCAATAACAACGTCAACTTACGTTGATATTCGGTTGATTTTAGGTTGTGTTGAAAAGTGACCAAAATCCAACATCTGATAGATGTCATAGTGGTAACGTCCACACATTGTCAATGTGTAACATGACATTGATATTTGGTTGATTTTAGGTTGTGTTGAAAAGTGACCAAAATCCAACATCTGAAAGACGTCATAGTGGTAACGTCCACACAACGTCAAGGTGATTAGACATTGATATTTGGTTGATCTTAGGTTGGACGTTGGACATTGACGTTGGCCTGATGTTGGGTTCTGACGTCAACCCAATTTTCATTTCCAAACAAAGTGCAATGTTCCCATGACGTTGGGGTGTGTTCGGGTTAAACGTCAATATGACATTATGTTGATGTGCTGTGCCTGCAGGGCATACACTTTTTTTTCCAACATCATTTTTAAAATAAAAAAAATGATCAAATGTTTTAAACGTTTTAATAAATTTAATAAACTAAATCTATCCACAACAATCTGTTCAGGCTGGTGCCCTCAGCAGTAAATACACGGACCACTTTTAAACAAATGTTATTGTAAGGAAACTAATTAAACCATTTTGGTAAATAGAGTTAAAAACTACCTTTTTTAAAATAAAGTTTTATTGAGATGATTTCTTTAAAATGTGTATGATAAAAATCTAATATTCATAAGTTACGGAAACTAGTTTAGTTTTGAATAGTTTTAGTGCATTAGAACATCAACACTGCTGGGTGTTGGCCAGATTGTGTAGCAATACATGAACAAAGGAAAATTAAGACACGTTTAAAAAAAAAATTAAGACCTACAACACAATATTTCAGTAAATTTAAATACTTTTTAAATACTTTTTTAAGGCCTAAAATTTAGATTTTGAAATTTAAGATATTTTAAGACTTTTTAGGCCCCACTGAAACACTGTTTTCATGTTTTTAATTAGTTTTTTTTATATTTTTAATGATGAATCATTTAGGTGCCAAAGCAAAATTTATAATCTTTTGGCCAGCGGAGAAATTAAAATGGTCGTGCCCGACTGAGTCTGCTTCTCTCAAGGTTTTTTTTTTTTCACTCCTATCAGGTGAAGTTTTTTTCCCTCGCCGCTGTCGCCACTGGCTCGCATGGTTCAGGATTTGTAGAGCTACGCATCTATGAATTTGCTCTTCAGTGTTTGAACTCTCAGTAATGACTTTAAACCTCACTGAACTGAGCTAAACTGAACTGAACTGAACTTAAACACTAAAAACTGAACTACACTGTTCCAGTTACTACGACCATTTATGTGAAGCTGCTTTGACACAATCTACATTGTATAAGCGCTATACAAATAAAGCTGAATTGAATTGGAATTAATATACATTTAAATGTTAATAATTACATTATCTAAAATGTATAATCTAATATTTTTATATAACAGAAACTAGCCCTGTAAAATACCCTGTAAAAATGCAGGGTAATACCAAACAATTCATTCATGTTCTCCCTTAACAAATTTAATTGGAGTAAACATAAAACTATTAAGTTGTCCCCCAAAAAATAAAGAATTGTGTTGATTCAGCTCATTTTAAAATCATAGTTTAAACAAGGAGCAAAATGACTTTTTTTAGGGTCTGGTCAGTAGTGTATGCCAGCTGGACTGGTTTGGTGTGACGTCACATCCTGGGCCGCTCTGTTTTTGTCCTGAATAGTCTGAATGAGACGTATGGATTCTCCGTCTCTGCTGAAGCACACAGAAGCGCCTCTTTGCTCTTACGTCATGTTTAAATGCTGCTGGTTATTTAAAGGGATCTGCTTGTGTCAGCCTTCCAGCAGCTGTACTGTAATAAATGTCACCACTCCACTGTCAGTGTGATCATGAGTGTGTGTTTGCTGTGTTGTGTTGAAGTAAGTGTGAGATTGCGAGGGGCAAATTGGAGATTCGCATTCCCAAACTGTGTGTTTTTTGTTTGTTTTATCCACAGACAGCATGTCTCAGCATAGTCTGATGTCAACACAGGAGAGGAAAATGCAGGCAGCGGCTATTTGTAGAGAGATCCACGCCAACGAAGGTACAAACACTGATTTATTACCATTGAGTTGGGCTAGGCAGAATCTGAATCAGAATCTGAATTTTTTTTTTTTTTTTGCGCAGAATTGTGTACAAAATCAGCAGATTTATGCAGATGATTTGGAGAGTCTTAACACATGAAATTAAAAATAATAACTTTGTAACATTTATTTAAGATTTACAATGCAAATTCAATTAGAAGTCAGTCTCTCATATAATATATCTATTAAAAGACAAAGTCTGACTCGCTGTATTGTACATAAATCGGTAACACTTTACAATAAGGTTCATTAGTTAATGCATTAACTAACATGAACTAATCATGAACAACACATGTACAGCATTTATTAATCATAATTGAACATTTACTAATGCATTATTTACATCCAAGTCCGTGCTTGTTAACATTAGTTAATGCACCATGAGTTAACATGAACTAACAATGAACAACTGTATTTTCATTAACTAACAAGAACAAATACAGTAGTAAATTTATTGTTCATTGTTTGTTCATATTGGTAAATGCATTAATTAACATTAACTAATTAACCCTATTGTAAAGTGTGACCCATAAATCATGTAAACATTTGAATATTATTCAAGAATATTACTGAAATAAAAATAAAACCTGAATAAATAAATAAAATAAATAGACGGACTTAAAAAAATCTACTTATCCAGCATATGTTTTACGCAGCGGATGCCCTTCCGGCTGCAACCCAGTACTGGGAAACACCCATACACTCTCACATTCCCACACTACGGCCAATTTTGTTTACCCAATTCACCCATAGTGCATGTGTTTAGACTGTGGGGGGAGACTGGATTACCCAGAGAAAACCCATGCCAACACGAGGAGAACATGCAAACTCCACACATGCCAACTGACCCAGCCGGGACTTGTACCAGCGACCTTTGTGCTGTGCTAACCACTGAGCCACCGTGCCACCCTTATTTATACACAGTTAAAGTCAGAATTATTAGCCCCCTTTGAAGTTTTTTCTTTTTTTTTATATTTCCTAAATGATTCCTAATGGAAATTTTCACAGTATATCTGATAATATTTTTTCTTCTGGAGAATGTCTTTGTATGTCAGTTTGTATTTTTTTTAAAGCCATTTTAAGGACAAAATTATTAGCCCCTTTAAGCTATTGTTTTCAATAGTCTACAGAAAAAACCGTGGTGTAAAGTAATACTCAAATGACTGTAATCGAGTAGTTTTTCTCAGGAATTGTAATTTACTAAGTAGTTTTATAAATATGTACTTTTGCTCTTCCTTGAGTACATTTTCAGTGCAGTATCAGTACTTTTACTCCACTACCTTCCTTAAACCTGCGGTCACTACTTTATCTTTTCCTGTTTATGGGGATAAGAAAAATCAGTCCTGTGATTCCTGTACAATCAAATCACACATAGAAGGTAAATCGCCTCATAACGAACTACCTCAAGACATGGGCGATTTATAATTGCAGCAAACTGTTTGGAAGCATTAAAAGTGTCCAAGAAGATGTCCAACATTTTTACACACATTGACCCAGTGCCTGTTTAGATGCAGGTCACTGATGAGAAGATGATGGATGTGCACAGTATGATGACCGAAATGGCCTTAAACACCCAGCAGGCACAAGATGTGAACATGACGTTAGAATGACGTTGTACCCCAATGTACTCCACTTTCATTTTATTTGGAAATGAAAATCATATTGACGTCAGAACTCAAAGTCAGGACAACGTCCAACCTAAAACCAACCAAATATCACCGTCTATTGATGTTACAGCTTGATGTTGTGGGGACGTTACCAGTATGACATCTATGAGACGTTGGATTTTGGTTGCCATACCTGACAAATAAATGTCAGTATTTGATGTCAATATGACGTTGGTTTAAGATGTTGGCTCCATGTTGGATTTTGGTCACTGTCTAACACAACCTAATATTCCAGTCAACCAAATATTTGTCGTTTGATGTTGTTATTGGACGTTAAACTAACGTTGTCTTTAGACGCTGGCTAGATATTGAATTGTGGTCACCTGACATCGCTATCTAAATCTAACCTGATGTTAATGTCTTATGACGTTGTGTGTCCGCTGGGCAATAACTAGATGCACTACAGAATGTTACGTTTACACACACATGCACAAATTACATGTAAATGCATCAACTTTTTACATACCCACTACTCACTACTCTTGAGTACTTTTGAAAGCTGTACTTTTTACTCATACTTTGAGTAAAATTTACAACAGATACTTTTACTCTACTTTTATCACATTTTTAGTCAAGTAATGGTACTTTTACTTGAGTATGATTTTTCTCTTTCCACCACTGACACCATCGTTATACAATAACTTACCTAATTACCCTAACCTGCCTAGTTAACCTAATTAACCTAGTAAATCTTTAAATGTCTTGAAAAATATCTAGTCAAATATTATTTACTGTCATCATGGCTAAGACCAAATAAATCAGAGTTATTAAAACTATTATGTGCAGAAATGTGTTGAAGAAGTCTTCTCTCCGTAGAGAGAGAGAAAGTTTGTTTTGAAGTGTATTTCGGGAGTGGACTGCAAGACGATGCTGGACAGCTGTAAGAACATTCCTGCCGGATTCATTTTCATCCTTTGATGTTCCTGAAGAGCCCCGAGTGACCCTCAGTAATAACTCAATCTGATATCAGCGGGAAAACTACACTAAGGGAGTACTCACACTATGCTATCTGTACCGTGCCCAGGCCCGTTTCCTGGATCGTTTGAGAAGTGTGAGTGCGCTGAATCACACTCAGGCACGGTTCACTTAGCCGGCCCTGGCCCGGTTGGAAGAGGTGCGCCTGAGCCCGGTTCACTTGGGCTTTGTGTGAGTGCAAAACGCGCCAAAGCCCGAAACTGAAAGCGAGACGTGACTTTTTCATATGGATTTATTAATCATTACTGTTCAATGAACGCAAACTGACGTAGTTTATTGAAAACGCAAACCCCTCACTGCATGACAGCTGCACCTTCAGCAAACCTCCTAATTCCTGTATCACGAGGACTTTATGGTTGTTTATGAGCGCCAAAAGTGGCTGATTTGTTCGGCGAAATATTTGACTGCGTGTCACCGCATCCCTAACGACTAAAGCGATATAACTAGAGAAATCTCCACTGTGCTGAGTGAGAGCGCTTACTGGACAGCGCGGCATTGATGAAGTAAGCGTGCCCAAGCCCGAATGTAATGTGAATACATGCGGGCCGTCGGGGGAGGCGGGAGGGGGGACAAGCGTGCTTTGGAGCAGTTCAAGGCAACTGTGTTCACACCAGACGCGGAACGCGCGGATAAATCGCGCTATTCGCTCGTAAATAGCCGCGTGAACATTTGAGTTTACCCGCTTCATTCGCGCGTCAAACCCCGCTTCATTCGCGTGTCAAATTCACTTCAGAACAGACGCAGATTCACGTAACAGGCAGGGCTTCTGTCTGCCCGAAGACTCTAGCTTCATAGCTAAATGGCTAACATGGATTTTATGAAGAAAATAACAGTGTTTATGTGCTTTATGAAGACTGAAAAACAGCGTCGATACGTTTAGGGTCGTGTCTGAGTCCACTACATCCTTTCAGAGGTGCATCCAGCTCTGTGAGCTCATAAACTCCTCCAGAAACTGAGCCTGGATGACGGAGGCTTTCAGCGGTGCTTCTGACTGAGCCAAGCCGAGATTGATGAACTGTTGTCGGTGAGGCTGGAGGATTTCCCTCGGAACACCGACAACAGGTTCTACGTCACAATCACGCCCCCACAAGAGCAAGCTTCTGATTGTTTAACGTGGCGCGAATGTACGCTGAAGCTTATATTTTCGAATTCGAGAGATTCGTGTGAAACGCTCGTTAAGCGCGTCAAACGTGCAAAACGCTCAATTCGCCCCGCGCCATTCGCACAATTTGCATCATTCGCGCCGCGCCATTTGCGCGTATCGCGCCGCAGGGTGTCTATTCGCGTGTTTGCATTGACTTAACATGTAAATCACTCGCGCGCGTGCCGCGTCTGGTGTGAACGCAGCATAGTGTGAGTACAGCCTAAACTGTTCTTGCGATGATCATTAAAACTAGAATGTGAGTAAATCATACGTAAACTAGCCTAGTTCGATCAAATTTTACACGGAAGTGATTAAATTATTGATTTACACGTGAATCATATTGTTTGCTGGTGTCGGTTCCTTCAGTTTTTGGCAGGAGCAGCAATTCAAAGGCGACCGCTTGTTTTATGACCACCCGCATATCCAGTTATGTTCAGGGTTGCCAGATATTTGCAACAAAACTAGCTAAAAGTCAAACTAGCTCACTATAAACTCAAAATGTGAGACATCCATTTGTAAAATACATATGGGTTCTTTTTGAAAATCACTGTTTGTTGTTAATTATGCTTGGTAATCTTAAAGGGATAGTTCATTTATTTTCTTTTGGCTTAGTCTCTGATTTATCAGAGGTCGCCACAGTGGAATGAACCGCCAATTATTCCAGCATATGTTTTATGCAGCGGATGGCCTTCCAGCTTTAACCCAGCACTGGTGGTTAGCACTGTGGCCTCACCGCAAAAAGGTCACTGGTACGAGTCCCAGCTGGGCCAGTTAGCGTTTCTGTGTGGAGTTTGCATGTTCTCCCCACATTCGCTTGGGTTTCCTCTGGGTGCTCCGGTTTCCCCCACAGTCCAAAGACAAGTGTTATAGGTGAATTGAATAAACTGTATTGGCCGTAGTGTATGTGTGTGAATGAGTGTGTATGGGTGTTTCCTAGTATTGGGTTAAGGATAAGTTAGCGGTTCATTCAGCTGTGGTAACCCCTGATTATTAAAGGGACTAAGCCAAAGGAAAATGCATGAACAAATTATTTTTGAGAATGATCTAATGGCAACTCAGCTGCCAAGGTGTACTTAGAGGGTTGAGTATGGTGTAGCTGTATTGTTTTGTCTTTCAGCTTTTAATTTTCCATTTTCATCCCAAGCAGAGATGGATCTGGGTAAGAAAGTCAGCGCACCAAAGGAGATCATGTTGGAGGAGCTTTCCCTGGCCTCAAACAGGGGCTCACGTCTCTTCAAGATGCGTCAGAAGCGCTCAGAGAAATACACATTTGAGAGTATTCAGAATGAAGTCAACGTACAGCACAGTGTAAGTGTCATTTGCCACATTGCATTAATTCTCAACATGGGGTCCGGGACCCACATAGAGGGCTTCAGCAGTCTTCCAGTGGAGCCAAGATATGTAGGTGTTAATAATATCTCTTAAGGGGACGTTCATTCATTTATTCATTTTCCTTTGGCAAAGTCCCTTATTTGACAGGGGTCACCACAGCGTAATGAACCGGCAACTCTGCCCTTACAACCGCAACCCAGTACTTGGAAACACCCATACACACTCTTGCACTACGGCCAATTGTGTTTATTGTGAAGAGAACATGCAAACTCCATACTGAAATGCTAACTGGCCCAGCTGGGACTCGAATCAGCGACCTTTTTGCTGTGAGGTGATAGTGCCAGCCACTAAGCCACTGTGCCACCCCAACCTTTGTTCACAACTTTTCACTAAGCTAATATAGATGTAGAATATAGAAGGTGTGGCCAAATATGCATATGGTTATATACATTAATATTCAAGTAAGCCCAATGCTGTGACCATGCCATTTTTTTTTTTCTCAGACTGATGCTGTTTTTCCTGGTCCATGTGCTGAGATGACAAACATTTTAAGTGATGAAAACTGTCTTGGAGTTGATCAGGCACCAAATCCACTTAATCCTGACAACATCGCTCCAGGTTAGTCCACAGCCATCTCTTAAAGAGCATGCGATACTGTAATTATATTGCATTGATGGGAATTTGTTTATTAACTGCAGAAATGTAGGATGATTTCAAACTCTCCTTTACAATTCTGATGCAGATTTATACTAATCCAGTGGTGTGGCATGGCGCAATTTGACCTCTATTTGCTCAATGCAATGTTCAAGCTTAACACAATTTATTATGCATATAATAATAAGTGGTGCTACAAATAAACATTTCATAAATCCTCTCTTTCCTCGTACCTATGGTTTTCAAAAATTTTTTGGAAGAAGTTTTGATAATAACGCAATAATAATAATAATAATAATAATAATAATAATAATAATAATAATTATTATTATTATTATTATTATTATTATTATTATTATTATTATTGCGTTATTATCAAAACTTCTTCCAAAAAATTTTTGAAAACCATAGGTACGAGGAAAGAGAGGATTTATGAAATGTTTATTTGTAGCACCACTTATTATTATATGCATAATAAATTGTGTTAAGCTTGAACATTGCATTGAGCAAATAGAGGTCAAATTGCGCCATGCCACACCACTGGATTAGTATAAATCTGCATCAGAATTGTAAAGGAGAGTTTGAAATCATCCTACATTTCTGCAGTTAATAAACAAATTCCCATCAATGCAATATAATTACAGTATCGCATGCTCTTTAAGAGATGGCTGTGGACTAACCTGGAGCGATGTTGTCAGGATTAAGTGGATTTGGTGCCTGATCAACTCCAAGACAGTTTTCATCACTTAAAATGTTTGTCATCTCAGCACATGGACCAGGAAAAACAGCATCAGTCTGAGAAAAAAAAAAATGGCATGGTCACAGCATTGGGCTTACTTGAATATTAATGTATATAACCATATGCATATTTGGCCACACCTTCTATATTCTACATCTATATTAGCTTAGTGAAAAGTTGTGAACAAAGGTTGGGGTGGCACAGTGGCTTAGTGGCTGGCACTATCACCTCACAGCAAAAAGGTCGCTGATTCGAGTCCCAGCTGGGCCAGTTAGCATTTCAGTATGGAGTTTGCATGTTCTCTTCACAATAAACACAATTGGCCGTAGTGCAAGAGTGTGTATGGGTGTTTCCAAGTACTGGGTTGCGGTTGTAAGGGCAGAGTTGCCGGTTCATTACGCTGTGGTGACCCCTGTCAAATAAGGGACTTTGCCAAAGGAAAATGAATAAATGAATGAACGTCCCCTTAAGAGATATTATTAACACCTACATATCTTGGCTCCACTGGAAGACTGCTGAAGCCCTCTATGTGGGTCCCGGACCCCATGTTGAGAATTAATGCAATGTGGCAAATGACACTTACACTGTGCTGTACGTTGACTTCATTCTGAATACTCTCAAATGTGTATTTCTCTGAGCGCTTCTGACGCATCTTGAAGAGACGTGAGCCCCTGTTTGAGGCCAGGGAAAGCTCCTCCAACATGATCTCCTTTGGTGCGCTGACTTTCTTACCCAGATCCATCTCTGCTTGGGATGAAAATGGAAAATTAAAAGCTGAAAGACAAAACAATACAGCTACACCATACTCAACCCTCTAAGTACACCTTGGCAGCTGAGTTGCCATTAGATCATTCTCAAAAATAATTTGTTCATGCATTTTCCTTTGGCTTAGTCCCTTTAATAATCAGGGGTTACCACAGCTGAATGAACCGCTAACTTATCCTTAACCCAATACTAGGAAACACCCATACACACTCATTCACACACATACACTACGGCCAATACAGTTTATTCAATTCACCTATAACACTTGTCTTTGGACTGTGGGGGAAACCGGAGCACCCAGAGGAAACCCAAGCGAATGTGGGGAGAACATGCAAACTCCACACAGAAACGCTAACTGGCCCAGCTGGGACTCGTACCAGTGACCTTTTTGCGGTGAGGCCACAGTGCTAACCACCAGTGCTGGGTTAAAGCTGGAAGGCCATCCGCTGCATAAAACATATGCTGGAATAATTGGCGGTTCATTCCACTGTGGCGACCTCTGATAAATCAGAGACTAAGCCAAAAGAAAATAAATGAACTATCCCTTTAAGATTACCAAGCATAATTAACAACAAACAGTGATTTTCAAAAAGAACCCATATGTATTTTACAAATGGATGTCTCACATTTTGAGTTTATAGTGAGCTAGTTTGACTTTTAGCTAGTTTTGTTGCAAATATCTGGCAACCCTGAACATAACTGGATATGCGGGTGGTCATAAAACAAGCGGTCGCCTTTGAATTGCTGCTCCTGCCAAAAACTGAAGGAACCGACACCAGCAAACAATATGATTCACGTGTAAATCAATAATTTAATCACTTCCGTGTAAAATTTGATCGAACTAGGCTAGTTTACGTATGATTTACTCACATTCTAGTTTTAATGATCATCGCAAGAACAGTTTAGGCTGTACTCACACTATGCTGCGTTCACACCAGACGCGGCACGCGCGCGAGTGATTTACATGTTAAGTCAATGCAAACACGCGAATAGACACCCTGCGGCGCGATACGCGCAAATGGCGCGGCGCGAATGATGCAAATTGTGCGAATGGCGCGGGGCGAATTGAGCGTTTTGCACGTTTGACGCGCTTAACGAGCGTTTCACACGAATCTCTCGAATTCGAAAATATAAGCTTCAGCGTACATTCGCGCCACGTTAAACAATCAGAAGCTTGCTCTTGTGGGGGCGTGATTGTGACGTAGAACCTGTTGTCGGTGTTCCGAGGGAAATCCTCCAGCCTCACCGACAACAGTTCATCAATCTCGGCTTGGCTCAGTCAGAAGCACCGCTGAAAGCCTCCGTCATCCAGGCTCAGTTTCTGGAGGAGTTTATGAGCTCACAGAGCTGGATGCACCTCTGAAAGGATGTAGTGGACTCAGACACGACCCTAAACGTATCGACGCTGTTTTTCAGTCTTCATAAAGCACATAAACACTGTTATTTTCTTCATAAAATCCATGTTAGCCATTTAGCTATGAAGCTAGAGTCTTCGGGCAGACAGAAGCCCTGCCTGTTACGTGAATCTGCGTCTGTTCTGAAGTGAATTTGACACGCGAATGAAGCGGGGTTTGACGCGCGAATGAAGCGGGTAAACTCAAATGTTCACGCGGCTATTTACGAGCGAATAGCGCGATTTATCCGCGCGTTCCGCGTCTGGTGTGAACACAGTTGCCTTGAACTGCTCCAAAGCACGCTTGTCCCCCCTCCCGCCTCCCCCGACGGCCCGCATGTATTCACATTACATTCGGGCTTGGGCACGCTTACTTCATCAATGCCGCGCTGTCCAGTAAGCGCTCTCACTCAGCACAGTGGAGATTTCTCTAGTTATATCGCTTTAGTCGTTAGGGATGCGGTGACACGCAGTCAAATATTTCGCCGAACAAATCAGCCACTTTTGGCGCTCATAAACAACCATAAAGTCCTCGTGATACAGGAATTAGGAGGTTTGCTGAAGGTGCAGCTGTCATGCAGTGAGGGGTTTGCGTTTTCAATAAACTACGTCAGTTTGCGTTCATTGAACAGTAATGATTAATAAATCCATATGAAAAAGTCACGTCTCGCTTTCAGTTTCGGGCTTTGGCGCGTTTTGCACTCACACAAAGCCCAAGTGAACCGGGCTCAGGCGCACCTCTTCCAACCGGGCCAGGGCCGGCTAAGTGAACCGTGCCTGAGTGTGATTCAGCGCACTCACACTTCTCAAACGATCCAGGAAACGGGCCTGGGCACGGTACAGATAGCATAGTGTGAGTACTCCCTTAGTGTAGTTTTCCCGCTGATATCAGATTGAGTTATTACTGAGGGTCACTCGGGGCTCTTCAGGAACATCAAAGGATGAAAATGAATCCGGCAGGAATGTTCTTACAGCTGTCCAGCATCGTCTTGCAGTCCACTCCCGAAATACACTTCAAAACAAACTTTCTCTCTCTCTACGGAGAGAAGACTTCTTCAACACATTTCTGCACATAATAGTTTTAATAACTCTGATTTATTTGGTCTTAGCCATGATGACAGTAAATAATATTTGACTAGATATTTTTCAAGACATTTAAAGATTTACTAGGTTAATTAGGTTAACTAGGCAGGTTAGGGTAATTAGGTAAGTTATTGTATAACGATGGTGTCAGTGGTGGAAAGAGAAAAATCATACTCAAGTAAAAGTACCATTACTTGACTAAAAATGTGATAAAAGTAGAGTAAAAGTATCTGTTGTAAATTTTACTCAAAGTATGAGTAAAAAGTACAGCTTTCAAAAGTACTCAAGAGTAGTGAGTAGTGGGTATGTAAAAAGTTGATGCATTTACATGTAATTTGTGCATGTGTGTGTAAACGTAACATTCTGTAGTGCATCTAGTTATTGCCCAGCGGACACACAACGTCATAAGACATTAACATCAGGTTAGATTTAGATAGCGATGTCAGGTGACCACAATTCAATATCTAGCCAGCGTCTAAAGACAACGTTAGTTTAACGTCCAATAACAACATCAAACGACAAATATTTGGTTGACTGGAATATTAGGTTGTGTTAGACAGTGACCAAAATCCAACATGGAGCCAACATCTTAAACCAACGTCATATTGACATCAAATACTGACATTTATTTGTCAGGTATGGCAACCAAAATCCAACGTCTCATAGATGTCATACTGGTAACGTCCCCACAACATCAAGCTGTAACATCAATAGACGGTGATATTTGGTTGGTTTTAGGTTGGACGTTGTCCTGACTTTGAGTTCTGACGTCAATATGATTTTCATTTCCAAATAAAATGAAAGTGGAGTACATTGGGGTACAACGTCATTCTAACGTCATGTTCACATCTTGTGCCTGCTGGGTGTTTAAGGCCATTTCGGTCATCATACTGTGCACATCCATCATCTTCTCATCAGTGACCTGCATCTAAACAGGCACTGGGTCAATGTGTGTAAAAATGTTGGACATCTTCTTGGACACTTTTAATGCTTCCAAACAGTTTGCTGCAATTATAAATCGCCCATGTCTTGAGGTAGTTCGTTATGAGGCGATTTACCTTCTATGTGTGATTTGATTGTACAGGAATCACAGGACTGATTTTTCTTATCCCCATAAACAGGAAAAGATAAAGTAGTGACCGCAGGTTTAAGGAAGGTAGTGGAGTAAAAGTACTGATACTGCACTGAAAATGTACTCAAGGAAGAGCAAAAGTACATATTTATAAAACTACTTAGTAAATTACAATTCCTGAGAAAAACTACTCGATTACAGTCATTTGAGTATTACTTTACACCACGGTTTTTTCTGTAGACTATTGAAAACAATAGCTTAAAGGGGCTAATAATTTTGTCCTTAAAATGGCTTTAAAAAAAATACAAACTGACATACAAAGACATTCTCCAGAAGAAAAAATATTATCAGATATACTGTGAAAATTTCCATTAGGAATCATTTAGGAAATATAAAAAAAAAGAAAAAACTTCAAAGGGGGCTAATAATTCTGACTTTAACTGTGTATAAATAAGGGTGGCACGGTGGCTCAGTGGTTAGCACAGCACAAAGGTCGCTGGTACAAGTCCCGGCTGGGTCAGTTGGCATGTGTGGAGTTTGCATGTTCTCCTCGTGTTGGCATGGGTTTTCTCTGGGTAATCCAGTCTCCCCCCACAGTCTAAACACATGCACTATGGGTGAATTGGGTAAACAAAATTGGCCGTAGTGTGGGAATGTGAGAGTGTATGGGTGTTTCCCAGTACTGGGTTGCAGCCGGAAGGGCATCCGCTGCGTAAAACATATGCTGGATAAGTAGATTTTTTTAAGTCCGTCTATTTATTTTATTTATTTATTCAGGTTTTATTTTTATTTCAGTAATATTCTTGAATAATATTCAAATGTTTACATGATTTATGGGTCACACTTTACAATAGGGTTAATTAGTTAATGTTAATTAATGCATTTACCAATATGAACAAACAATGAACAATAAATTTACTACTGTATTTGTTCTTGTTAGTTAATGAAAATACAGTTGTTCATTGTTAGTTCATGTTAACTCATGGTGCATTAACTAATGTTAACAAGCACGGACTTGGATGTAAATAATGCATTAGTAAATGTTCAATTATGATTAATAAATGCTGTACATGTGTTGTTCATGATTAGTTCATGTTAGTTAATGCATTAACTAATGAACCTTATTGTAAAGTGTTACCGATTTATGTACAATACAGCGAGTCAGACTTTGTCTTTTAATAGATATATTATATGAGAGACTGACTTCTAATTGAATTTGCATTGTAAATCTTAAATAAATGTTACAAAGTTATTATTTTTAATTTCATGTGTTAAGACTCTCCAAATCATCTGCATAAATCTGCTGATTTTGTACACAATTCTGCGCAAAAAAAAAAAAAAAATTCAGATTCTGATTCAGATTCTGCCTAGCCCAACTCAATGGTAATAAATCAGTGTTTGTACCTTCGTTGGCGTGGATCTCTCTACAAATAGCCGCTGCCTGCATTTTCCTCTCCTGTGTTGACATCAGACTATGCTGAGACATGCTGTCTGTGGATAAAACAAACAAAAAACACACAGTTTGGGAATGCGAATCTCCAATTTGCCCCTCGCAATCTCACACTTACTTCAACACAACACAGCAAACACACACTCATGATCACACTGACAGTGGAGTGGTGACATTTATTACAGTACAGCTGCTGGAAGGCTGACACAAGCAGATCCCTTTAAATAACCAGCAGCATTTAAACATGACGTAAGAGCAAAGAGGCGCTTCTGTGTGCTTCAGCAGAGACGGAGAATCCATACGTCTCATTCAGACTATTCAGGACAAAAACAGAGCGGCCCAGGATGTGACGTCACACCAAACCAGTCCAGCTGGCATACACTACTGACCAGACCCTAAAAAAAGTCATTTTGCTCCTTGTTTAAACTATGATTTTAAAATGAGCTGAATCAACACAATTCTTTATTTTTTGGGGGACAACTTAATAGTTTTATGTTTACTCCAATTAAATTTGTTAAGGGAGAACATGAATGAATTGTTTGGTATTACCCTGCATTTTTACAGGGTATTTTACAGGGCTAGTTTCTGTTATATAAAAATATTAGATTATACATTTTAGATAATGTAATTATTAACATTTAAATGTATATTAATTCCAATTCAATTCAGCTTTATTTGTATAGCGCTTATACAATGTAGATTGTGTCAAAGCAGCTTCACATAAATGGTCGTAGTAACTGGAACAGTGTAGTTCAGTTTTTAGTGTTTAAGTTCAGTTCAGTTCAGTTTAGCTCAGTTCAGTGAGGTTTAAAGTCATTACTGAGAGTTCAAACACTGAAGAGCAAATTCATAGATGCGTAGCTCTACAAATCCTGAACCATGCGAGCCAGTGGCGACAGCGGCGAGGGAAAAAAACTTCACCTGATAGGAGTGAAAAAAAAAAAACCTTGAGAGAAGCAGACTCAGTCGGGCACGACCATTTTAATTTCTCCGCTGGCCAAAAGATTATAAATTTTGCTTTGGCACCTAAATGATTCATCATTAAAAATATAAAAAAAACTAATTAAAAACATGAAAACAGTGTTTCAGTGGGGCCTAAAAAGTCTTAAAATATCTTAAATTTCAAAATCTAAATTTTAGGCCTTAAAAAAGTATTTAAAAAGTATTTAAATTTACTGAAATATTGTGTTGTAGGTCTTAATTTTTTTTTTAAACGTGTCTTAATTTTCCTTTGTTCATGTATTGCTACACAATCTGGCCAACACCCAGCAGTGTTGATGTTCTAATGCACTAAAACTATTCAAAACTAAACTAGTTTCCGTAACTTATGAATATTAGATTTTTATCATACACATTTTAAAGAAATCATCTCAATAAAACTTTATTTTAAAAAAGGTAGTTTTTAACTCTATTTACCAAAATGGTTTAATTAGTTTCCTTACAATAACATTTGTTTAAAAGTGGTCCGTGTATTTACTGCTGAGGGCACCAGCCTGAACAGATTGTTGTGGATAGATTTAGTTTATTAAATTTATTAAAACGTTTAAAACATTTGATCATTTTTTTTATTTTAAAAATGATGTTGGAAAAAAAAGTGTATGCCCTGCAGGCACAGCACATCAACATAATGTCATATTGACGTTTAACCCGAACACACCCCAACGTCATGGGAACATTGCACTTTGTTTGGAAATGAAAATTGGGTTGACGTCAGAACCCAACATCAGGCCAACGTCAATGTCCAACGTCCAACCTAAGATCAACCAAATATCAATGTCTAATCACCTTGACGTTGTGTGGACGTTACCACTATGACGTCTTTCAGATGTTGGATTTTGGTCACTTTTCAACACAACCTAAAATCAACCAAATATCAATGTCATGTTACACATTGACAATGTGTGGACGTTACCACTATGACATCTATCAGATGTTGGATTTTGGTCACTTTTCAACACAACCTAAAATCAACCGAATATCAACGTAAGTTGACGTTGTTATTGGACGTCAAAATAACGTTATCCTTAGATGCTGGCTAGACATTGAATTTTGGACGCCATGACCTAAATCGAACCTAATATTAACGTCTTATGAAGTTGTGTGCTTGCTAGGTGGATACAAGTGGAGCTTGCTTGTATTTATACAATATTTAAAATATTTTGCTTAGAAATATCTAAAAAATATATATATTTTTGTTATTAATATATAATTGTATTATAAGATGTATTCAATTATAATACAATTTATTTGAAAAGGCAAATAAAACTTTTCCATCTGGGCCATTTGAAAAATGCATTAATGTTCAGCCCTTTATGAGTCTTAAAAAGTCTTAAATTTAACTTGGTGAAACCTGCAGAAACCCTGGAAAAGCTGGTTCGACTGGACCGAACACCCACCAGTGTTAATGTTCTAATGCACTAAAACTATTCAAAAATAAACTAGTTACAGTAATATATGAATATTAGATTTTAATCATACACATTTAAAAGAAAATCACCTTTAAAATTGCTCAAATTAAGTTCTTAGCAGTGCATATTACTTATCAAACCATACGCTTTGATATAATTGTTGTGAAATATTTACAAAATGTATGTAATTTTCTTTTAATTATGGCATTTACATTTACATTTAGTCATTTAGCAGACGCTTTTATCCAAAGCGACTTACAAATGAGGACAAGGAAACAATTTACACAACTAAGAGCAACAATGAATAAGTGCTATAGGCAAGTTTCAGTTCTGTAAAGTCTAAGAAGGGAAGTATTAGTAGTATTAGTTTTTTTTTTTTATTTATTTATTTTTTTGGGGTACAGTTAGTGTGATATTCAGAGAGGCAATTGCAGATTAAGAAGTGTAGTGGAGACTAAATAGTTGAGTTTTTAGTCGTTTCTTGAAAGTAGCGAGTGACTCTGCTGTTCTGATGCAGTTAGGGAGTTCATTCCACCAACTGGGCAGATTGAGCGTGAGCGTTCGTGAAAGTGATTTCTTCCCTCTTTGGGATGGCACAAAATAAATACTTTATTGGATCTCATACAATGTGCTTTTGGCTATTCCTACAAATATAAATGCGCTCTAAAAATGCTGGGTTGTTTTAAGCCAACATTGGGTCAAATATTGACAACTTTAAAGTTTTAAAATTGTTACGTAAATCTTTCAACTGAATTTAAATAACACTTTTAAACCCAATAGTTGGTGGTTTCCATAGTTGACCCAACACTGGGTTAAAGTAACCCAGCATTTTTAGAGTGTGTCCAACTCAAGACTTTACTTAAGTTTTGTGCTCCAAGGTCACATTTCAGTTTAGTTGTTTTTTTGTTATGCTAGTTTCAACTTAGAGTCTTAGCCTGTGTGTGCTGTTAGGCATGTGGGTGATTTTGACTCTTAATCTGGCATGACGTCCTCTGTTTCAGCAAATGGAATGACTTTTGGTAACAAATCTCTTTTTGGCACATATTTTGGGAAAATGCTTTTGGCATTTTTAAAAAACTCAACAATGCACTCTGGGCAAATTTACTACCCTTTTGTTATGTTCTGGGCTGTTTTTGCCCCCATTGACTTCCTTTATAATCACGTTTTTTGATTGCAAAGCCATGACACCTCTTGCATTCATGATTGTTGCTGGTTTTTCCTGTTAGGAAGAGATCAAACTTGTCATTTTCATTGTTTATCATCAGTTGCAGTGCAAAAAAAAAGCTTAGTTTCTAGCTTTTATATGTAGTACAGTGTGTGTGCTTGTGTATGTCTGAGAGAGAGAAAGAGAGAGAAAGACCTTTGCACATATACCTTGATATGCTTTATAAAATCAAAATAAACCTCTCAGCTCTCTAAACATAGTAAGTAGTAAGTGTATTTATGCACACAGACACTATAATCTGCTGTTTTATACCATGAAATTCCATATACTGTAAATGCCAGAAACTGTTTTGCACAGGCTATCACTGTCAACTGATTATCAACAATAAAAATGACAAATCTGACCTCTTCCCAGCAGAGAAAACCACCAACAATCAAGAATACAAGGTTGTATGCTGTCATGTCTTTGCAATCATAAAAATGTGGTTACAATGGAAGTCAATGGGGCAAAAACAGCCCCGAACATAACCAAAGGGTAGTCAATTTTGACAGTGCACAAGTACTGTTAGTAAGTGGAACTGACTAGATTCAACTTAAATATTGAAGCCAGCAACTTATTTTACAGTGCACACACAACCCACAAATTCATGCAATGCGATAATCACGTGCATCAGACTGGTTTACTATACCTGTGCTGGGTCAGTTGTGTCTGGATGAGGGCTGAATGTGCTTGTTCCCTGTGTGGGACGGGACTGAGACCCTCTGGACCGCAGGGGTGAAGGGTGTCAGAGGGAGGACCGGCTGCTCGTCTGTCCGCTTTCAATAGCACACGGTTATAAATAGCACTGATCACACACACTGACAGACGCACGTTAACCGTTTGGAGTGTAACGGAGACAGCAGGTGTCTGCTCAGGTTATGACTTCACTGTGTTTGCACAGTTCACTCATTACGGGTCGTTCTGGGGTTCGGGATTGGTCAAACAAAGTTGTGGTCAACATGGACGACACTGTAAAAAAATATCCGCAGTTTTTTGTATTTTGCGATTCATGTTTTTTATTTTAGCTCTGTTTATTTATGCATATGCATTATGGGATCTTGATCTTTCTTCCAGCAACTTTGAACCTAGAAAAGGTTAAAAACGAACCTTTATTAACATTTTTAATAGTTTAAAAGTGATATATTGTCTGAATGGTGTTGTATATGATGCTACAAAAACCTTGCCACTATACATATTCTGTTATTTTACAGACTTACGCTCACCGGCCACTTTATTAGGTACACCTGTCCAACTGCTTGTTAACGCAAATGTCTGATCAGCCATCAAATAATGTTAGTTCATGCTAACTCACAGTGCGTTAACTAATGTTAGCAAGCACAACTTGACACATGCTCTTTGAATGCATCCTTTGGAGGATGCAGACCCTGAAATGAGACGCAGCTACTGTGAGATGTAGGATCAGAACCAGGAGATGTAAAGCAAGAATTGAGATGCGAAAATCTGGAATTTTCTTCAACAATGAGCATTTTTGTCAGCCTCTTATGATTATGTTCAATTATTTCATATTAAAATCGATAAAAAAAAAACTATTCTTTGCCATAAAATTACAGAATTAAGAAAAGAGCCTGAAAAAAATGCTCATATTAGACGAACATTTCAGATGGCTCTTAGAGGTTTTCGCATCTGAACTCTTCAATTGTCAAAATTAGCTGGATGTAAAAGTAGATTACAAAAAGTCAGAACTACAAGATGTCAATTTTCAAGTGCAAGAAATAATGATCAGAATTTAGAGACACACAATCATAATTGTGAGATGTAAACTTTTTTTATTTGTAAAATGTAGGAATAGTTCTAGTTTTACGTCCTGCAAATTGAAATTTACATAATTATTTATGCCTCACAACTCTAAGTTGCGTCTTAGCCTTATAAGCATCCGTTTCATTAAAGTGTTAGGGAATATTTTTTGCATCCTATCTAGTATGGCCCCTGAAAAAAGTGTTGCATGCAGAACTCATTCATTCATTCATTTTCTTGTCGGCTTAGTCCCTTTATTAATCCGGGGTCACCACAGCGGAATGAACCGCCAACTTATTAAGCAAGTTTTTACGCAGCGGATGCCCTTCCAGCTGCAATCCGTCTGTGGGAAGCATCCACACACCAATCACACACACACTCATACACTATGGACAATTTAGCCTACCCAATTCACCTGTACCGCATGTCTTTGGAATGTGGGGGAAACCGGAGCACCCGGAGGAAACCCACGCGAAGGCAGGGAGAACATGCAAACTCCACACAGAAACACTAACTGAGTCGAGGTTCGAATCAGCGACCCAGCGACTTTCTTGCTGTGAGGCTACTGCACCACTGCCTCGCCCTGCATGCAGAACTGTTGCAAACAATTTATTTGTGTTGAATTTAAACAAACAAATTAAGTTTAATAATGTTCAACCTAATTTGTTTGTTTAAATTCAACACAAATAAATTGTTTACAACCACTTAACATAAAAAGTTGAGTAAATCCAATAAATCATCTCTGAATATTTTTTTTCAGCACTCCAACGTACGTTTTCCTTCGGCGTATATTATTTATCACAAGTAGCAGATTAATAGCAGAAGCCATATTTAAAACAGGGTTCAGTCTTCAGTGTCAGCTGCCGCATAGTTTGACGAGCACAAGTTCAGGCGTCCAGCCAGACCATCCCAAACGTTATATAACAAGACAGCGGTTTGTTACAGACTGAGTGCTGAAAGCAACTCTCCCCCAGGCCTGATTTCTAGACTGCTTGACGTCTGCACACACATTTCTCCTCTAAAAATCAAACTAAATCCATGTAGAGATTTCTGAACATGTTACTTTAATAGAGGTGCAGAGCAGGGTTTTGTTTCAGTCACTTTCAGAATGTGGAGCTGCAGACTGTAAATCAAACAAGCATTAATGTCCTAGCGGGATAGTTCATCCAAAAATGACTCTCTCTTGAGTGGTTTTAAGAGTTTCTTAATTCTGTTGAACACAAAACATTCATTCTGAAACACGTGTAGTAGGAAGGAAAAATAAAATAGTCTATAGTTGTTTTTCCTCTCAACATTCTTCAGCATATCTTCCTTCCTGCGTTCATTTATTCATTCATTTTCTTGTCAACTAAGTCCCTTTATTAATCCGGGGTCGCCACAGCGGAATGAACTGCCAACTTATCGGGCAAGTTTTTACACAGCGGATGCCCTTCCAGCCGCAACCCATCTCTGGAAAACACACACACACACACACACACACACACACACACACACACACACACACACACACACACACACACACACACACACACACACACACACACACACACACACACACACACACACACACACACACACACACACACACACACACACACACACAGGACAATTTAGCCTACTCAATTCACCTGTACCGCATGTCTTTGGACTGTGGGGGAAACCGGAGCACCCGGAGGAAACCCACACGAAGGCAGGGAGAACATGCAAACTCTACACAGAAACACCAACTGAGCCGAGGTTCGAACCAGCGACCTTCTTGCTGTAAGGCGACAGCACTACCTACTGCGCCACTGCCTTGCCTTTTCATTTATTCATTCATTCATAAATTTTCCTTTGGCTTAGTCCCTTATTTTTCAGGGATCGCCACAGCGGAATGAACCGCCAACTTATCCAGCATATGTCTTACACAGCGATACCCTTTCAGCTGCAACCCAGAACTGGGGAATACGTATACACTCTCATACACTACAACCCATTATAGTTTCTTCAACTCATCTATAGCGCATGTGTTTGGACTGTGAAGGAAACTGGAGCAAACCCACGGCAATATGGGGAGAGCATACAAACTCCACACAGAAATGCCAACTGACCCAGCCGGGACTTAAACTAGTGACCTTCTTGCTGTGAGGCGACAGTGCTAACCACTGTTGCTTCTTTTGTGTTCAACATAATTAAAATAAACTTGAAGTATTTTTTATTACCCGACCGACCCGCGGATTATCCGCAGCATCCGCAGATATAACCGCCATCCACGCATTACTAATGTACACTGTGTGAAGTTTATTCATAAACTAATTTCGAGAGGATCAGGTGCTTATGATTTATCACGGCGGGTCTCGCATTTGCTAATTATTATCTTCCAATCACACGAGCCCTAAGCTACTGTAAATAACCACAGTTTTCAGCTCATTTTATCTCCGTTTGGAAGAAACCCCCCTTCCTCCCCTATTCTCCTCCTTTACCTCTGATTGGGCGGCACGGCGGCCCAGTGGTTAGCACTGTGAGCCCCACAGCAAGAACACTGCCGGCCCTGGTCCCACATGACCGGTGGGTGTTTCTGTGAGGAGTTTGTATGTTCTCCCCGTGTCTGCGTGGGTTTTCCCCGGGTTCTCCGGTTTCCTCCCACCATCCAAAGACATTCAACATACATAACAATCAAGCTTTGTCTAACCCCTTGTGTTCCCTTAGCTACCGCAGCCGGGGAGTTCTGAGATCCACCGAGCTCAGGCTCCCCTCTTGCTCTGCCAACGGGAGGAAGCCCCGGGCTCGAGGAGCCCTTGAGCTCGGGGCTCTCTCCCGGGACAGCATGCCAAACAAGCTTTTATAAATCATCAGCTAAGTGTGAACTCTTGAAAACATGTAAAACTGAATCATGCAAGGAACATTCAAAAAGCAACTCATGTAAACACCTTAATCATATTATCGTCTTAATTAGATTAAGGCAAATCATTCTATTACTGATGTCCACATAGTCAATTGTGTGCTAGCAAAATAAACATTGTAGATTTTCATTTCACACAGACTTTAAAATAAAAACCCTAGAACTAACGTTCCTGTACTATTTGCAAAATAAAAAACAAATTCTTAATGACTTAAAATAATTACATTTTCTTAATGCTTTCGCTAATATTTGCATAAAGACTAAAATAACACACAAAAAAGTGACACTTTGAATGTTCAGTGAACATGTTTTCTTGACTTAAAGGGAGTTCTGGGTCTGGGCAAACAGGGCATGTGCTAAAGGGTCTCACCAGGTCACTAAAGAATGATTTAATCTTTTAAAGTGAGGCTTATGTAACGAGTATGGCTGTCACTGATTCAACAGATTCTGCTTAATAGCTTTGTAGCACACAGACAAAATTAGTTTTTTCTCTTTCCAATTTTATAAACAGGGTGGCACGGTGGCTCAGTGGTACGTACTGTCGCCTTATAGCAAGAAAGATGCTGGTTCGAGTCCCCGCTGGGCCAGTTGGCATTTCTGCGTGGAGTTTGCATGTTTTTTCCATGTTGGTGTGGATTTCCTCCGGGTGCTCCGGTTTCCATCACAAGTCCAAAGACATATGCTATAGGTGAATTGAATAAGCTAAATTAGCCGTAGTGTATGTGTGTGAATGCAAGAGTGTGTGGGTGTTTCCCAGTGTTGGGTTGCGGATGGAAGGGCATTTGCTGCATAAAACATTCATTCATTCATTCATTTTCTTGTCGGCTTAGTCCCTTTATTAATCCGGGGTCACCACAGCGGAATGAACCGCCAACTTATCCAGCAAGTTTTTACGCAGCGGATGCCCTTCCAGCTGAACATATGCAGGAATAATTGGTGGTTTATTCAGCTGTGGCGACCCCTGATAAATGAGAGACTAAGTCGAAGAAAAATGAATGAATGAATCAACACAATTCTTGAGGTTTTTATGGA